ACAGCTGGTGGATCCAGGCCAACACAGGTTGGAGTGTCTGCAGGGACTTAAGATCTCGATTAGTAATTTTAGCTAATTTGTCTTCTGACAATCTTGGAACCAATGGCGGGGGCCTCCCAAACATGGCTTTAAAGGGGGAAATTCTAGAAACATATAGGGTATATCTAGCTCTTAACAGTGCAAAGGGAAGAAGGCTCATCCAATTATCGCCAGTTTTTGAAAACAGCTTAGCTAAAATGTCCTTGAGACTTTGGTTCATACGTTCTACTTGCCCTGAGCTATGTGGCTGATAGGCACAGTGGAGTTTTAATTAATCTTTAATGCCTGGGCTAACTTTTGGGTGACTCGGGCTATGAAAGCCAGGCCATTATTGGACCCCATTGATAGTGGGAGGCCAAATCAAGGTATGATCTCATGCGATAGCCTTTTAACTACCACTAAGGCTGACTCAGACTTAGTAGGGAAAGCCTCTACCCAGCCAGTAAAAATGTTTATTAATACCAAGAGATAGCAATGTCCCTGTAAATTAAGTTTTACCATGTCCATGAAGTCTATTTCCCAATGTTCTCCTGGAACAATTTCTTGATGTCGGGTGGTCTCCAATGCAGAGCTCTTGGCTGAGTTGACTAACAAGCACTGTGGGCATCTAGAGCTCGAAGAGGTGGTCAGTTTGTAGAGTTTTGGAATAAAATACTGAGTTCTGGACAAATCCACAAGTTTAGTTTTTTCTAAACGAGTAGTCTGCGAGCCCGGTATAACAGCTCCTGCCCTAGTGTCTCCAGTAACCGTACTTGTATATCAGGTAACTGGTATTAGCCCCTTGGGGTGGGAGACTTTATTCCAAGTTGAGATGCCAACCGTAGGTCTTTCTTTGTGTAGACTGGTTCTGACAAGGTCGGAGGACTAGTATCAGAGCAGTTACTTTCTTGGTTGACCCCTCTGATGTGGTTGCTATTTTTCATCTCCGGTTGGGTGAGCCTTGTAAGGAATAGCAACCCATTGAGGCAGCCAGACAGCTGCCAGCAAGTCTAGAATCTGTGGAGCATTTTTAGATGGCTTCCACGTATATGTACAGTAGCAAAGGGATATCTTCAGTAAAAAACTGTTTACCCTCTTTTCCGTGGCTAGTTTTAGCCTCTCAGTCGAAGCAACAAGCTACGCCTTTTGGGCAGAAGTGCCAGGCTCTACCCGCTTAACCCAGAGTACCTCCTTTTCGGTGGTCACTGCTGCCTCGGCCATTCGTTTGCCGTTTTGGATGAGGCTGCTTTCATCGAACAGTTGTCGGCATTTCCCAAAAGCTGGTCAGTAAGATCAGCCTGTAGGTTCTGCTGCAGTTCGAGGATGTCAGCGCACTCATGGAGAGAGGTGTCCTTTGTTCCTCCGGATCATCATCAGGCATAAGGGTGGCTGGGTTTAAAGCTGAAGAAGTCTTGAATATCATTGACTCTGGGTCTAGAAGCAGGGCTTGACAGTAGAATTCTGGTGTTTGAGAGCCTTTTTTTTTCAGGAGGGGTTTTGATAAGAGTCTCTAAACTGTGAGAAGTTACCACAGAAATCACTTGCCCAAAGCGTGTTTCTTCGCTTCCTTAAGTAACATTGTCACAGTAGCTAGTATTTTAAGGCAGGGGGCCATACTCCTGTTACTGGATCAAGTCTTTTGGAGAGGTAGGCTATAGGCCTCTTTCAAGGGCCAATGTCCTGAGTTAGGACTCTTTTGGCAATGTCCCTGAGTTTATCTATGAACAAGATGAAAGGCTTGGTAACGTCAGGGAGTCCCAGGGCTGGGGCCTCTGTCAAGGCCCGCTTGAGCTGCTGGAGGGCCTGTTCACATTCATCAGTACAGTTCAGCGAATTTTGAGTTTCTCCCTTATGGGAGTCATATAGAGGCAAGCTTTTCAGTAAAATTTAGCCTACAGTACCCAACTGCCCCCAGAAACTCTCGTCTGGTTTTTTAAAAGTTTTCTTTCATAGAGCAATTTTAACACCTTGGCTATCTTTTTGTAAATTTTTAGTTCTCAAAGACCTTTTTGTGCTATCTCTATTAACTGGCTGAGGGGCATTTCCTTAAACCTCTCAAACCTTTGTAATTTTTGTCTAACATGTGGGGCCGACTGAGTTACAAAGAGAACAACTGGCAATATTGGGAAACCTTCTTACCTCTGGATGTTCAGTCAGGGTGGCACAAAAGGAGAACATGGTTTTGGCATTCTGGATCAGAGAGCCGGCTTCATCTGGATGGCACACTGCTTCTTGTCCAAGGGTGTCACGTGGCAGGCCATCATTTTACTAAAATTATATTCTTAACAAAAAGGGCTTTTCACAGGTAACAAAATTGTGCTGCATAATCTCCCAGATGTTTACAGCACATGCAAGAACTTCTATCTTATTTCTAGTATCACCTATAATCTCATTTTAATGGAAACATTTTGCAGCAAAGTACAATCTTATGTATACTTCTACCAAAACTGATCTAATACTGTCAAATTCTGAACACACTTACTTCTTGTCAAACCTGTTATTTGTAGTACTATAAATCAAGACAAATAAAATTTACATCCTCTTGAGCCTTCTACAACTTACAATAATACCTCTCAAACTAAGCTTTAATCTTTTTCCACATTCTGGCATAGCCAGACACCTTTACTTGAAGACCACTCTTTGTCCCTCTTTTTACTATTACCAGTCAATTACCTTTTCTCTCACTTCTCAGACAAAATCAAAGCTCTTAACAAAACCCTTGAAGTCACCTTCTAGTAGTCCAAAACATACTTATTTACCACATAAAAATGCTGTATTTTAAAAACAAAACTGTAACCTTTTAACTGGCTCAAATATAGTATCGCCTGGTTTTTACTTGGCAAAGTTGACATGACTCTTAACAACCATAGATAAACATATATATGTGCACATGTTTACATTTTCACCAGAGAGAAAGAAGAGAAAAAAATACTCCTTTTAAAAGGCATGCCGAGGTTGCAAGCAATCAATTGAAGTCTTACATATTAAACAAGGCGCCACAACATTAAAGACACAAACAAAGGGAGCTTCTTGTACAGTTTGGTCAGCTAAAGGAAATAATTTTTCTTATCATGAACCTTTAATCTAATAAGCCACATGAATCCTGCAACAGAAATGGGCAACAAGCCCCTAAGTTAGTAACAAGTTTAAACAGGCAACCAAGGAGAGGGCGGAGGAAGGAAGGGTTTTACCCACGGTGGGGGCTCCTCCCTGATGTCCTGCCATACCAAGATGTAGGCGACCTGCCCTCTCATCTGGGGCGGAAGATGATGTTCTTAACTGCTAAGATGAGGGGAAGGTGGAAAGTCCCCTCCGGTGGCCAACCCACGGAGAATGTGGGCCACTCAGACGAGCAGAAAGTCTGCCATTTACTCTTCTTGACCTGCAAGGAGAGATTGTGAGCCCTCTTCCGCACCTCCGACCAATGGTCGAGGGTGAGGGACAATGGGGATGAGGTCGACTATCCCATGATGTTCTATAGTCACAGGGCGGTTAACGCAAGTGCGATACAACAAATAACCAATCACAACACCCACGACACACAGGACAAACAGGCCGGCCACCTCACTCTCACGCATCAGTTTCACACCAAACGAGTCACCTTAGGGGGTGCCTCCAGATTGGCCCGGACGGACCACAGATTGGGAATGAAATTCCCCAGATTGGCCCAGACGGACCACAGATTGGGAATGAAATTCCCCGAACGAGTCACCTCAGAGGGTGTCTCCGAATTGGCCCTGACGGACCACAGATTGGGCCCCAAACCGATAGGAAAATCCTATCGCAGACGGTGAGTCACGGAAAACCGTGTGGGGCGTCCCCCGGTCACCAGAGAACAGAGAACAGATAACAAATAACAAAAACTGGTAACAAAAATTGCCCCTAGATCGGAGCCGTTTGGCTCGGGGCGTAAAATACCGGTAGATTGATCCTCAGAGTAAAAATAAGAAGCAACCGGTCGTACTCACCCACCGCAGAGCCGTTGAGGTCACCTCCTGTGAGGCGTGTTATCTCGCTGGGGCCTCCAAGATGTTAGGGCCGACGCCGCAGGGAAAGAGACCCCAAGGACTCAACTCTTGGTGAGGGAAAAAAGTTTATTTCCATGCGCATGGGGTCCTCCAGGCAAACGAGTGCGGAGGGCCACGAGGGGAATTTGTGCAGGATTTTTGAGGGCACAAGCGGGAAGCAAGCAAGTTTACAGAAGCAGATCGTATTGGTTAATTTGAACGGTGCAGGACTTGGCAGATGCTGATTCGAGGGATCTAGGGCTGAGTAACCATGGAGACAGAGAGTCCTGGTCTAATCTAGCATATTCCTTTACTTATCTTTATCTTTACAGAGGACAGATCACCTTGTGGTTAGAGGACAGATCACCTTGTGGTTAATGACTAGCAGATGCATTCCTTCCTGTCCTGCCCCGATATCTCAAGGAGGATTTAGGGAGTGAAACATTCCTTACTGCTCTGTTCTATAGCTCGGGGGGTGGGGGGGTTACATTATAAACGGGGAGTCGATTCTCTCAGCCTCTGAGCACTGCTGCTTCTCAGGATGAAGGTGGCTATGGTGAGTATCCTACACTGGTGAGAAGCGGCTGCCCAGACCAGCCCTTCCTGTGGGAAGAGCAGCATCACTATCCTGTTCAGCGGGTTCCTGCTGGGCCTCTGTGTCCAGGTCAAAGGGCTCCCTGCTTCCTGTTGTGGTTCAGGCCCTGACCCCCTGGCCTCCTCTTGGAGGTAGCTTCCACCCAGCTGTCACTGGCATCCGCCATCCCAAGCAGGGTCTGCCGACACCACGGCAGATACAGATAGATAAGGGCACCAGCAGCAGGATTTCCTCAGACTCAGCAGCCAGGCAGGGCTGCCGTGATGTGTGGCGGGGCTGTGTCCTCAGCAGCCCACTGGTCTCCAGCCCCAGTGGGGATACTCTCACTTCCTGGGGTGGCTGCATAATGGTAAAATGGGTCAAATCTGTCCTCTTGCTAGGGCCCAGACCCCTCCTTGATCTACCGACCTGATATGGACCCAGAGATGGCCAAAGACAAGGGCAACTTCCGGAACTACACTGTGAGGACTGCATCCATCCCATAGCTCCAGGGACCCTCGGGAAGCCCCACCCTGGGCCCCATCCCAGAGAGGGAGGTAGTGACTCAGCATTCCATCTGTCTGACTTGTAGTCAGGCCCCCTTCTGGATCGTGTCTTCATCACCTACAAGCACATGCACACGTACCAGACAGTGGACTTCGTCAGGAAGAAGGTAGCACTTTCTGCTCCCCCACAAACTGATCATGTACTTACCCGTGGGATAGAGAGGCTTCCATGGGAGGCCCTGCTCTGCAACCATGAGAGTCCCTGGTGCTGTGTGCTGCAGGAGGAACTGACATCTCCCTTTTCCTTTCCTGCCAGCATGCCCAGTTTGGGGACTTCTCCTGCAAAAAAATGACTATCATGGAGGCTGTGGACATGCTGGACCACTTGGTGGATGAGTCAGACCCAGATGTGGATTTTCCTAACTCCTTCCATGCCTTCCAGACAGCAGAGGGCATCCGGAAGGCTCACCCTGACAAGGGTCTGTTCCCCAGCTGCAGTGGTGGATGTGCTGCCTCTGCCCTAAAAGGGGAAAGCTGGGGAGGAGTCTTCTGCCAGAAGGCTCCACCCTGGCAGAAGGAGCCCCAGACCCCTCTTCACTCTCAGTCTAGGGTTTGCTCTTCTGGTCTCAGCCTCCCCTGTCCCCCAGCCTCCCCTGTTTCTCTCCTGCAGACTGGTTCCACCTTGTAGGGCTTCTGCATGACCTAGGGAAGGTCCTGGCTCTGTGGGGGGAGCCCCAGGTAAGAGCTGTGAGTGGGGTGGGGCCAGACCCCATGGGGGACAAGCCAGCACCCCCAACCACAGCTGCTATCCTCCCCAGTGGGCTGTTGTTGGAGATACCTTTCCTGTCGGCTGCCGTCCACAGGCTTCAGTGGTGTTCTGTGACTCCACATTTCAGGACAATCCTGACCTCCAGGACCCTCGATACAGGTGCCTGCTGCCTGAGGGTGGGTCACCCCCCTTCCCAGGCCACCTCCGCCCCCTCAAACTCATCTCTTGTTGCAGCACAGAATTTGGCATGTACCAACCCCATTGTGGGCTGGAGAATGTCCTCATGTCCTGGGGCCATGACGGTGAGACCTGCATAGGCGGGCAGGGAGCCAGTGGGGATGGGCAGGGTTAACCTCCAGGTTCCTGTGCTGACACCTCTGTCCTGCAGAGTACATGTACCAGGTGATGAGGTTCAACAAGTTCTCCCTGCCCGAGGAGGTAGGTAGAGGGGTGGGGCCAGGCAGCTGCACCTGACCCAGCTGAGCTGTCCACTGGGCTGTCCAGCCTGAGCCACGGATGTGGTCTGCAGGCCTTCTATATGATCCGATTCCACTCCTTCTACCCATGGCACACGGGCGGTGACTACAGGCAACTGTGCAGTCAGCGGGACCTGGATATGCTGCCTTGGGTGCAGGAGTTCAAGTAGGGTTTCCCCAAGGGCCCAGGGATGAGGGATGGGGACAAATAGGGCTGCTTTGGTGAGGCTCACTGCACCTCCACCCTGCAGCAAGTTTGACCTCTACACCAAGTGCCCTGACCTGCCAGATGTGGACAAGCTGCGGCCCTACTACCAGGCACTCATTGACAAGTACTGCCCTGGTGTCTTGAGCTGGTGACCCGGACCAGCGTTGGCCCCTCAGGCTCAATGACCCTTACCCTGGCCTTCCCGGGGGCCCCATGTACCCACTCCCAGCACCACCCTTCATGATCAGTTGTACCCCTCCTTGCAATAAATAACTTGACACAATATGTGTGTCTGACTCTTCTTTATGGCAGCAGGCATGGCCCTAGCACTACTTGGCTCCTGTGTTCCAGAGCCTGGGAGACCAATCACTCAATTTATCCCCACATCTAGAAAAGTCAACAAAACAGGGTTCGGCATCATGCTTCCCTGTAATCCCAGCACTTTGGGAGACTGAGGCAGGAAGATCACAAGTTTGAGTGTGGGACCTTATCCTGTGATAAAAATGAATGAATAAATAAATAAATATACAAGTAAGGCTGGGGATGTAGTTCAGTGTGAAGGCCCTGGATTCAATTCCCAGGACCATAAACAAACCGAAGAAAAACCACACATGTATAGTTCTGTCTGTAGTTGTAGCCTCTTAGGAGACAGAGAAGGGAGGATCCCTTGAATCCATGAGTTTGAGATTAGCCAGGGGAAGCCAGAAAGACCTTATTTCAGGGAGGGAGGAAGGGAGGAAGGAAGAGAGAGACAGTCAGAGAGATACATACAGAGAGACAGAGACACAGACAGAGTGACAGAGAGACAGAGACAGATAAAGACAGCACAGAGAGACAAATAGCTAACAGATATATGAAAAATTCTCAATATCATGAATCACCAGAAAATGCAAATGAAAAGCAAATAAAAATATCATCTCTCACTTATAAGAATGGTTGTTATAAAAGAGTTGAAAGAAAGCTGCGGTGGTGGTGCACACCAGTAATCCCAGTGTTTGAGGCTGAGGCAAGAGGATCACACCATGAATTTGAGGCCAACCTAGATTACATAGTGAGTTCATGGTCAGCCTGAACTATACAGTGAGGCTCTGTCTCAAAAAAAAAAGCCCAAGAAAGATAACTTGGTGAAAGTGTGAGGAAAGGGAATCATGCAGAGTCAGGGAAATGTAATTAATATCATGGAAAATAGTATGGAATTTGTTTTGTTTTGTTTTGTTTTGTTTGCTATCAGAAATCAAACTCATGCCATCACACTTGCCAGGCAAGCACTGTGCCACTGGCTGTATCCCCAGCCGCAATAGGTATGGTAGTTTGTCAAAAAATGGCAAGTGTTCCTACTGGGAGATCCAGCAAGCACTAATCAGTGTGCCCCAGCCCAGGGGGGTCTGACTGTGCCAACTTCACACAGTGTTTAGGGTCCACGCAGTAGTCCAGGATGATTTTCCTGTCATAAGACTCTTCATTCACATTTGCATAATGCTTTTTCCAGCGATGCTACAATCTACAGATTCTAGGGCATGACGCTGGCATCTTTTGCTCGCCATTTTCCAGCCTAGCTAGAAGCTGCCCCAAGCCAGGTGTCAGTCATCTCACCAAGGATCCCTGGCTTCCTTGAAATTGTATTTCAAATTCCCACGAAGGGGCTGAAGACTAAATCAGTAACTTCTTTCTGCTTTTTCAGTGTAGGGGAAGGAGTACAGAGCTTTGTGCATGCTAAGTGCTCTACCCTCAAGCCTCAAAATTGACGACGTTTTGAAAGGCCACTCCCACCTCTGATCCCTAGTGTGGTCACTGGATCTTGCTGCATTGCCTTTGCTGTCCCCCACCCTTGTCCCCCAAGAGGCTCTCTTAAGCCTGAGACCTCCAGAGAGCTGCCTCCAACCATCCTTCCTGTGCTAAGGCTTTGGCAGCAGCCCCTGGTGTCTACTCATTTCCATGGAGGGTTGGGAGGCCGGAGCTATTTTCATGGTACTTCAAGCAGCTGTCTGCCTTCTTCAAAGAGCCAGTGTTACCCTGACAACAAAATAGCACGGAGAGAGTGGCTGTCCGGCCATGTTCTCCAGGGTGGAAGAGGTCAGTTTTCCAGGATTATAGATATTTGTCATTGCTCAGGGTGTCCCTAGCAATTTTAAAGCACACAGTGCATCATTAAACTTTCTGTCTTTATGAAGCAGTGAAGTTAATATTGTTAAATCTCCATCCTTGCTGGGTGGGATGGTGTGTAGCTGTTGTTTCAGCTACTCAGGAGGCTGAGATAGGAGTATCGTGTGAGCTCGTGAATGCTGGATTAGCCTGGGCAATGTGCAATAGCAAGAAATACCAAAATGACTCCCAGGATTTGGGGGCAAATTTGTTTACAGTGACAGGCGCTGATTGGGATCATTCCCAGAATGTCGGGCTCCGATCTCTGGTGGCCTAGGGCTTTTATACGATGCACAAGCAGGAGGCACAAAGGAGGTACAAAGGTGAGACAAAACAGCCTGGCACTTCTTCTGACCAGCCAGCAGGTTGAGATCATTGGTTACAAGGGTAGATTAATGATCACCAGTTTATAAAGCTTGGTCTAATGGTACAACCAGGCATCTGGAGTGTTTCTGTCACGCTTTTGTGGTTACAGGGGTCAAGAAAGTAATTACAAAGCCATGAAGCAGTTACAGAGCTAGGCAGTTTCAAGAGAACAAAGTTTTAAAAAGAACAATCTCTCTTGTACAGTTTTTCCCTTTCAAATACAGCGAGACCTGTCTCAAACAACAGCAACAATGGGCCTGGGTATAGCTCAGTGGTACAGCAGCTGTCTGGCAAGTGCAAGGTCCTGAGTTGGATTCTGATACAAAACAAAAGCAAAAACAAACCAAATCAAACTCCATCCTTGAGTATGGGGCTTTTTATTCCCTTTGTGACAAAATGCACAAGGTCTGACTTGGCTGTAGGAGACCCCCTCCAGCCCACAGGCCAGGGTTCCTGGAAGTCAGCAGCATATTCTGCAGACTGAATCCAAGGGCTTGGACCCTTCAGAATGGAGCATGAGGATGATAACCCAGATGCTAGCTGAACCTGGGTAGTGGTACTCCTTATATTGTCTTCCTAGCTGATCAGTGTTTGGTTTCTTTCCTAAAGGTTAGCATCATAGTTCAGTGTATGAACTGTAGACACAGGATCCTGTTGGAGCATCATGTTCCTCTGTGAGGCCTGGAAGCCTCCCTCAACAGCACCTCTGGGTCCTTGGCTTCCACAAGGTCCTATGTCTACAATTCACGCACTGAACTGTGAAGGGTCCAAAGCACCTAGTGATGATCACTCCTCTGGAGTCATCGCTAAAAATCAAGTAACCGCTTGTTAACTATTTCATCTTGTAAACTAAATGATTTGAGAACATTCTGGCAGGCAGAATAGACAAGAGCAAAAGGGGGTGTGTCAAAACAAAAAAGAAAAATTTAGTAAGTAAAAGGAGTTTAATGAAGTCTCCATGGTTTAAAGGAACTTAAATGGGAATTTTTAATCCTAATTAATTTTCATCTGAGATGCTTTAAGGAATTTTTAAAACTCAAAAGACACAAATGAATAAGAGCATTGGGTGGGTACAGTGCTGGAAAATGGTGCCATGTTTCTCAATGGGAGATCCTGAATCAAGTGAAACTTCTAACTGATGAATCAATGTCACTCGAAGGCAGTTTTTTGCTTTTTTCTTGTACAAAAAGCAATTTTACTTCAAATTCTTCATTTCTATCTTCCCTCTATTCATTTGTAACATCCACGTTGGCAAGTGGGTCTCCTTTAGGGTCCACCAGCATCAAAATGATACTAATCATGATGGTTTCCACAGTGTGGAGAGGAGCCAGGGTGCCTCTGGTTTTTCTTTTTTATCAGTACCAGGGATCAAACTCATGACTGCTTGCTTGCAAGGCAGGAGCTTATGCCGCTGAGCTAAATCCCCAGCCCCTTGTGCCTCTGGTTTTTCATAACCATATTTATCCTCATCAGGTTCACAAAGAACAGAATGCAAACATCACCATTTTTATCAACATTGGGGTGCCAGATTTTTGTAATGAATTTCATTTTAGGAGGCCTGGGGAACAACCTTTTGGGAAAAGTGAGATGTCTTAAAAACACCACCTTTATAGAGTGTATCTAGAGGACCAATAATGGGGACTTCCCATTGGTAGAGATCACTGTCATGTACTAAACCTGCTGAAAAGCCTTTCACTGTCTTTGCAGTAGTGTCTTCACCAACTAGAGCTCTGTCATCCTCCCTGTTGAGGGCCCGGGCTGGTACCTGGCTTCTGAAAGTCTGGGACAGGCTTTGGGGGTGGCTGGAGCTAGGTGTGCAGAGGAAGCTGGGCCCTGTGACCACAGTACTGAAGTTGAGGGAGGCCAGGCTGGGTTAGCTGGAGCGACATCTTGCTGCCATTGCAAGTTGGTTCTGCTTTTCTCACCTGGGAAAGGAACATTCAAAATGAATGTCATTTCACTGCATTTGCATGTTTATCTTTTTTTTTTTTTTTTTTTGAGACTAAGTCTCACTATGTGGTTCAGGCTAGTGCCTTGAACTCCAGGCAATCCTCTTGCCTCATACTGGGATTACGGGCATGCACCACCATATTTGGTAGCCACCTCCTCCCTCTCCCTTCCCTCTACCCTCCCCCACCTTCCTGTTTCTCTTTGCTTGGAAAGATTGTTTGGTTAGAAGACTGAAAGCCTAGCAAATAAGTTAACATTTATAAAGCGGTTTAAATATCTTAGCTATTTAAAATATACAAATGGAAGCTTCTGGCATGACTACTAAAACCTACTAGAAGGGAGAAAATGGGAACTCCCAGGAGACTTTATATTAAGAAAGCAATTGTACCCAGAGTGTTCTACAGACTGAATGCAAAATCCTAGCTCTGCTTGAGTCTGGCATGGCAGAGTATCTGTCTTTGACAAGCAGACCCTGGGGGGCAGTGAAATGAGAGCTAAGCACCCCATGGCCAGAATGACTTCCAGGTCACCAAGGCAGTGCAAGCATTTTGGGATTACCTTTACTTTTTCTATAAATTGTACCAAGACACCTACTTGAAGTGCATTAATTCTTTCAAATAAAGAAATTTGGTTTCCCCAAAACAAAACCAAAAACTTTCATGTGTCAAAATGAGTGAAAGATAACTCACAGATCTCACATTGGACAGATTACTATCTAGAACTTCTTCAACTCACTCCCCCCCCCCCCAAAAAAAAAGGAAAGGAAAGAAAAAAGAAAAAAGAGTCATCCAATTAAAAAATGGGCAAACGACCTGAGTAGATATTTGTCCAGCAAGACACAAATAGCCAATAAGCACATGAAAAGATGCTCCTGCTTAGTCATGAGGGAAATGCAGATCAAAATTACCACGAAGCTGGGGGTTTAGCTCAGCAGCACAAGTGCCTGCCTTGCAAGTGAAGTGCAAGGTCATGAATTCAATCCCCAGAACCAAAAAACAAAAACAAAACAAAACAAAACAAAACAAATGACCATGAGACGCCACTGCACAACCACCAAAAGCAAACAGCTGCTGCTGAGGGTATGGGGAACTGGAACCTCTGCATCTTGTTGGTGGGAATGTGCAAGGGAGTGGCTGCTGAGGAATGCAGCTGGGCAGCTCCTCAAGAAGCCACCAAGGGATCATTATGACCTTGCAGTCACCTCCACTTATTCATCACAGAACAAAGGTTTTGGACAGATGCTTGTATTGTAAACTCAAGTATTGAGTTCCGTCATCCAAGTATTGTAATCCTCTTTCTAGCTTTCCTCACCATCCAAAACGTTGTATTTGTAATCCCATGGAGACGTCATTAGAATCCCAGCAAATTAATTTCAATCTACCACCTCCAATGCAACCCACGACGAGAGTAAAGACATATTCCAGGTTAAGGGCAGCCACGGGGTCCTAAATCCAATCCCCTAAATCCAATCCCCGTAAAGACATGCAAACAAAGGCCCTGATCCTAGGCCTCTTCCAGAATTTATTACCTTGTGAAGAAGGGAGGTGGCTCAGGGATGAGTGACAGTGAGGATGGTGGGGAATCATGTGAGTTATGTGAGCTGGCGGCCAGGTGAGAGACGGGCACCTCTGTAAATTGCAGAGAGGAAGATATGCAGAAGGATCAATTCACATAATCTAATTATCAACTGAATTTTTTGATCGGTACTGGGGATCAAATGATTGTGTGCTTGCAAGGCAGGTGCTTATGCTGCTGAGCTAAATCCCCAGCCCCCATCAACTGAATTGTTTTGGGAAGCTGTAGCTTTAGTTTTTGATATGTAAACTGTTGTGCCTTGGGAAGTAGTAGCCTCTTTATCTTGAGGCTCATAACCAGTTGACATTCCCGGAGCTGACTGGCTCTAAACATCTTGCCCTGCTCATATCTGGGTATGGAGAACACTATGCGAGGAAACAGGAATGTCTGTTGGCTTTAAAATTTACATACCAGCACCTGAGGCTAGCTTTATTTGCAATGCTTAGAGCCAATTAAATAGGAAAAAAAATATGATAGCCAGCTCTCTACATATCAGTATAAAAAAAGAAGTCTCCAAAGAATCAAAGTCGTAGCAATTGCTTTGCATTTAAGGGGAGTCACTAGAATTGTCTCCCAAATCTTGTGCCTGTGTTCATGGCAGGATGATTCCCCGTTGAAAAAAGTGGAGAAAACCTAAGAGTTCATTGAGAGATAAACAGATAATCAAAATGTGGTCTGTGGGGGCTGGGGACTTAGCTCAGTGGCATAAGCGCCTGCCTTGCAAGCAGACAGTAGTGAGTTCGATCCCCGGTCACGACAAAAAGGAAAAAGACAAAAAAAAAAAAAAAAAAAAAAAAAAAGGAAAAAAACAAAAAACAAACAAACAAAAAAACCAAAATGTAGCCTGTCCACACAACAGAGGGAAGGCCTGACATGTAATTGTAGGGATGTCAAGTGAACAAAACCAGATGCAAAAGCAAATGTTATATGTTGTCCGGCTAGGACACACACACGCGCGCGTGCGCGCGCGCACACACACACACACACACACACACACACACACACACACGAAATCAAAAAATAGAAGATTGCTAGGGGTTGTGTTCTGTTTAGGGTTATGGAAAAGTTTTGGAAATAGGTAACAGTAATGGCTGCACAACAGTGCGAGTATACATTACACCACAGAACTATACACTTAGTTAAAATTATCTGGGTGCAGTGGTGCATGGCTTTAACTGTAATCCCAGTTACTGGGGAGGCTGAGACAGTAGAATCACAAGTTGAAGGCCAGACTAAGCAATGGAACACGACCTGTGTCAAAAACAAAAAGTATATGTGTGGCTTACAATGTATCTCACTTTACAGTGCTAGGTTAAAATTATGCATATTTTGCTACAAGTATCAATTAAAAATAAATTGATAAAATTATAAAGGAGTTGAAATATTAGTAGTATTTAAAATTGGTAAATGGGACAAAAGGTTCCTTTGGATCTACCAGATTTAAAACAGAGAACAGAAAACAAAAATAGTCATGCACATGAAAACCTGTGTGTACATGAGTGTACCAAGTGTTCACACCAGCACTACTGACAGTTAGTAAAAGGTGGAAACAACCTAAATGTGGACAAATGAGTAAGTATGCGGCTCTACTCATACAATATTGCAAAGAATAAAGTACTGGGGCTGCGGATTTAGCTCAGCAGCATAAGTGCCTGCCTTGCAAGCAGGCAGTTGTGAGTTTGATCCCCGGTACCGATAAAAAGGAAAACAACAACAACAACAACAAAAAGAATGAAGTACTTAGCCAGGTGGGCTAGCACTTGCGTATAATAACAGTTATTTGGGAGGCTGGGGCAGGAGGACTGCAAGTTTGAGGACAAGTAAGGTGGTTTTTGTGTTTGTCTCATTAAAAAAAAAGAGAGAAAGAAAGAAGAAAAAGACAAGAAAAAAAAGAGCTGGAATGTGGTTCAGTATAAAGGGCCTGAGTTTAATTCTAGAAACCTGACCTCCCCTATACCCAATAAAAGCCTAAAGTATATGTTACAAAGTGGCTGTAGCTTGGAATCACAATGCCTAGGAAAACAAGCCTGGTGAAAAAGATTGCATTATTCCATTTATTTTGTTTTTTTGAGATGGGATCTTGATAATTTTTTTCTAGGTGTTGCTGGGGATTGAATCCAGGGCCTCACAGGTGCTAAGCAAATGCTCTACTACTAACCTATACCCAGCCCTCGTAGGATTTAATTTATAGGAAATGCACAGAATAGGTAAGTCCATAGACAGAAAATAGATTAACAATTGCCTGGGTCTTGGAAGAGGTGGGTGACTGACACAGGCATCAGTCAGGTGATGAGAACGCTCTACAAAGGACGGGATGGATGCCGTGGTGTGGACACACTGCAAGCCCTAATCTTACACTTTTAAATTGTACAGCATGAGAGTTATCAAGAAAGCTGTTACAGAAAACCCAGCAAAGATTTGTAAACTGAGCTTAAAAGACTAAGAAAAAAGAACAGGTGTTTGAATTTTGAGTATGCTGCCATATTGTAAGCCAGTGCCAGCTGCTAGCTTGTCAACACTATGTAAGGGCCCCTGGAAGGCATCTGAAAGCCCGTGTGACACCTGAGCAAAGTGCTGTGGCTGTCCTGTGGGTATTGGGCTGAGTCAGGGACAGAGAGTTGTCAGGAATCCCTGAGGGAGATCACAGGGTGGGGTGGACAAGGCCATAGCCAGGGGGAAGGGGAGCTGTGCTTGGGTTGCCAGGGAGGGATGCGGCATTTGTTTTTTTGGTACTGGGGATCGAATTCACGACTGTGTGCTTGCAAAACAGGCACTTATGCCGCTGAGCTAAATCCCTGGCCTGGGATGCAGCCTTTTGGAGACAACCTGATCCTAGCTGGAAACCCACGCTTCCACTGCTCTACCTCCCAGCACAGCACTGAGGTGCTGGAGCAACCTCCTCTCCCCTGACTGGACACAGGCCTCTGCACCCTCCCTCCTTCTGCTCTCAGCATCTTGCCTTCAGCCCTGTCCACTTGAACTTTTTGTCCTTGTGAAGGACCAGGAAGAGGATCAGGAAGAAGATCTGGGTTTCTAAGAGTTCTGTTTAGCCTGTGTTCCATTGATGGCTTTGTGCTCCTAGAGTGACAACTGTGCCAGGCTGTGCTGGCCCTAAGGCTCCCTGTGTCCATTTTGCAGAGGACACAATGGAGGGACAGGGAGGTACTCATTAAGCCATGTCGGTGATGGGTGCCCAGTCATGCCTGGTGTCCTCAGGGCTACCCAGCAGGAAGGAAACAGCAGCATAGCCAAGCTCCAAGGGTGCTTTTATTGATGCCTGGATCCAAAAGGTGGGTCAGTGGATGGAGATGACAATACAGGTGACAACTTCTCTGCTGTCCTCAGTGAGCCCCTTATGCCTTCCAGATAAAGGCTGCGGTTAGGGACTCCACACTCAGACCTCTACATCCTGGGGCAGAGGACAAGCTTCCCATGACTGGGATGATATTCCAGCAAGGATCCTGAGCTGGGCCTTGGGCCACCTCCTGGGTCAATGCTGAGGCAGTGGGGGCAGTGGATGTAAGGGGACCAGTAATCTTAGGCAGCACGCAGCACCTTCAGTGAACAGTATACCAGCCTGTGTGGGTCCTGGCAGGATTGGCTAAGGCACAGTGGCAGGACCATGTCCCATTGCATGTCAGAGCTTAGTAGGTACCTGACCCTCCAGGGACACATGACAGAACACAAAGCTACTTTTTCCTCCGGGAGGTCCGGGAGCCACTGCTGCAGTTGTTGGGGGTGGGCACGGCTTGTCTGGATGCAGTTCTTGACTCCTTTTTGGAGATCAGTTTGTGATTTTCTTCTCTGGCTGGGGGGGAAGACTGGGGCAACCAAGAGGCCAGCAGGGCTTGCACAACTCTCACGGCACCCACAGCTCCCAGGAGCCCCCAGAGTAGGTTGGGGGGCTCCAGGGGAGATAGCTGGATTCGTATCCAGTGAAGGGCCCGGGCCAGTGCATGGGTAGGGCTGTGGGGCCGGGGTGGAGACTTGTCCTGTTAATAGGATGGAGAAAGGTGCCCATAAGATTGGCCTCTGCTGGTGGGAGTCCTCTACCACCTCCCAGCCTGGTGCACACCCTCCTACCTTAAGCCCAAACTGCTGCAGCAGCATCTCTAGGATGGGATCTCCCAGTGACACAGGTGGGAAGAATTCTTCTACCCACTGGCGGCGCCACCACCGGCTGCAACAGGACTGGATCCTTAGCACCTGGCCCAAGGCCCAGCCCCAACAACCCATCCAGCATGCAAGCTTACCCCTGCTCTCCAGGCTGAGAGAACCAGTATTTGTAGCGCTGGGCACGGATGTAGGTGGGTGGCTGCTTGTTAAAGGGGTACTGGGCAGCGTCATTCTGGATCAGGCGGATCACTATGAAGGGGGATAAGGCTCAGTATGGTTTGTAGAGCACATCTTCCTTGCCCGTCTCCAGCCCTGCCTGCTCCCCTCACCTGGCTCCTTGCCCTGCAGCAGGCGGAGCACCAGGCTGGTGAACCAAGGGCTGTGTGTATGTGGGCCCAGGGCTGCAAACCACATTTGCCAGTCGAGGCGTGGCTGGTGGGGTACCACGATGGGGGGTGGGCGGCTCACGTTTCCAGGTTTGTACATGAACTCAATCTCCTGCCAGGTGGACCCCAGGTTAGGTAGGCAGGCTGGCCTGGGTCCCTACGACCCCCAGCCCCTGGGAGGCTCACTGTCCAGTGGTGTCCATCATAGCTGCCTTCCAGCACCACCTCAGGGCGCCCACCCAGACCGGTCATCCGACGGAACAGGCCGTACGAGTTGGCCAGCTGCAGGTGCTCCACTGTGCCAAACAGGTGGTGAGCCTTAGTCCAGAGAAGCCCATGGGTCCCAGGCTCCACGTAGGAGTAGGGCACCTGCAGCAGGTAGAGACAAGGTTCAGTGTTGCTCTCTGGGCCTTCCAGCCCTCTTCGTATCATGCTACCTACCAGGCTAATCAGGAACAGGGCCACTGTGGAAGCACCCAAGATGGAAAGCTGGATTGCAGTATAGAACTTCTGCAGCCATCCCCGAATCTGTGCCCACCTGGGGGTAGGGCCAGGTGTGATCAGGTTGCCCTGGGGGTGGGCCTCCTCCCCCTCCCTGCCACAGGCATGTACCTCCAGAGGGCAGACAGCAGCTCCCAGGTCAGAGAGGCTGCGCCTAGCCACATAGTGGGGAGTGTCACCATCTTCAGCCACTGGGAGAACTGGTGGAAGGTGAAGGCTGCCAAAGGAGGGGAACATAAGGAAGGCTGGCCTGACCCTCACCCTGGACCCCCCCGACCCGGCACTCACTGATTCTGGAGTGGATCACATGCTGCTGCCAGTCAACTTCCAGGCCAAAGTAGTACGCAGTGCCATAGGCCAGTGTCGCATAGGTGGCCAGTTCTAGCAGCAGGGACAGTTTGCCCAGCAGGACCCTGTGCCAGGCTGTGGGCAGGATAGTCAATGGCTGTCAGAGGGTCCCCAGCCAGGGGCCAAGAGAGTGCGGTGTGGTTCTTTCAGAGAGTGCTGGAAGGAAGGAGATACCCTAGAGGGCAGAGGTGTGGGGACAGCTGGCTGTCAGCAGCAGCCTGACACTCACAGGTGGGCATCTTCCTGGGGAGGCTGAGCCCAGGCTCAGCAGCCAGATGCTGGTCATCCAGGAGGGCGGTGGTGAGCACCAGGGTGAGTAGGTTGAAGAAATTGTAGTTGCCAGTGATAATGATCAGAACTTGTAGCAGCACCTGAGAAGGTTTGTACTTAAAGCTCCTGAGAGCCATCCCCTACTAACCTGGTGACAGACCTCCCTCAGTGTGGCTGTCCATCACACACCTGCCCACCACACACCTGCCGGCCCAAGTATCACACCTTCTGGCTGTGAGGCTTCCCTGATAGCAGCACCACCTGCCTGCCAAGGTTGTCTTTACCCCACCTACCTGAGTATAAAAGGCGGCCAAACGCAGGCGGCGAATAGGGGCAAAGAACAGGAGGGGCACTGCGATCTCGATGAGGAAAGTAGCCACCACGCTGAGCTTGTGCAGCCAGATGGGCAGGTGGTGTGCAAACCAGGCAGCGGGTGTGGGCAGACACTGTGTCTCATAGTGGTAAGTGAGGGCTGTGGGCACAGGTGGGTGGTTAGGGCTTTGGAGGGCTCCCCGGGAGACCCCAGGTCCAGGCCAGGACACTCACCAGTGAGTCCCCACCATGCAGGACAGCGGCTGGTCAGTTTGACTACACCTGAGGCAAACATGAGGCGAAACAGCAGCCAGCGCACCAGCCAGAAGGTCAGGTGCTTACAGGCGGAAGCCCCTACCAGTGGCCCCTGGGGAGTCTGCTTTGGGCTGGAGAACTGCCTTAGCGGGGCTACCAGCACAGCCAGAAAGCCTGTCTCCAGGAGCAGGGAATCCCTGTGGGGACAAGAAATGGTACCAAATACGCCTCCTGACCCCCTCAGAGGACTTCCCAGGAAAGGCAGACCCTCGATTGGGCCTGAGTCACTCACCACTGGAAGTAGAGGAACACCTGGCCCACCTGCGGGGAGAAGGGCTGTTAGGGAGCAGGGCACCTCTGCAGTGCAGTGAAGCAGAGGCAGGGAAGCAGGATGGGGTGGGATGACAAGGGTCCCACTTGCCTGGCACGCTGACAGGTAGGCAGCCCAGAGAAGCAAGTAAACGAGGGGGTGGCGTAGCCGGCGGAGGAGCAGTGGACCTAGGGCCAGCACTGTGCCCAGCAAGCTCAGCAGCTCTAGGCCCTGGGCTGTGTCCAGTCCCAGCCTCGGCGCTTCCCATAGCAGCGTCGGGGTCTCCCACAGTTGTTGCCAGCGCCCCTTTCCCTGGGGCCGCAGCATCCTCCGCGCTGGCAGGATGCCTTCGGGGCCATAGAGGCCTGTGGGGCGGTAGGTCAGGGCAAGGCCTTTACCCTGCCTGCCCAGAACCTGAAGAGGGCAGCCACGCCCTGGAGGAAGAGCTGCTGCGGAGCGGCGACCCGCTACATCCCTCATCCCCTACGGCTATTCCAGCACCCCGGCTAGGCCGGGAACTCGCACGGCTCCCAGAAGTGGAGGGACCACCAGGGGGCCACGCGCCTCTAGATGGGGGGTGGTGGTGTCGCGCCTGGGGAGGTCCCACCCTGGGGTCCTCACCTGGGATCTGCGTATAGAGGGAAGCGAAGGCGAACAAGAAGACGGCGGCCACGCCCTGGAGGAAGAGCTGCTGTGGAAGCAGGGAGCCCGCCATAACGGCAACGAGGCGGACTAAAACTCAGCCCGGATCTTGTGGCCCCGCCCAGGCCTAGCCCGGCCCAGCCCGACCCGGCCCATAGCCCCGCAGGCCCGGCCAACAGTTGAAGGCGGCGGTCCCACCCCTGCGGCCCAGAAGCTGAGACCCGCTCGGCCAGCGGCCCCGCCTTCACGCCCTGGCCCCACCCACCTCCTGCCCTCTGCCCCGCCCCACTCTCCTGACCCCGCCCCTCCGCCACAGCCGCGGGCCCTGCCCCGGATGGCCCAAACCTCAGGCGGCTCAGGCCAGCGCTCGCTAGTCACGGAAGCGCAGGCGGCGCTCAGCTTTCGCACTTCCTGGGCGGGAACAGCAAAACAGCTCCAGAACCGGTGGCGGGCTGAAGCCGCGGCGGGCGCGGTGAGAACCGGCGCTGCAGGCCCGGGGCGGCGCAGCACCTCCCTGACATGGAGGACGTGGAGGTGCGCTTCGCTCACCTCCTGCAGCCCATCCGCGATCTCACCAAGAACTGGGAGGTGGACGTGGCGGCGCAGCTGGGCGAGTACTTGGAGGAGGTGAGGTGACAGAAGGCGCGCGGCGGGTCGTAGCCTCTGGCTCTTTGTGATATAAGGGAATGAAACGCCCAACCTACTATGTCCGCGAGTTCGTGTTCTCTAAAATCGAAGAATGAATTTTAGGAACAACGGAGGTAAGAGTAGAGTATATTTATTGAGAGAAAGAAAGCTTCTGTCTGAGAGAGAGAGAAGGGGTCCCGAGTGGGTTGCCAAGGACTCTGTCTTTTCCAGGGACTTTTATAGAGTGAAACCATGGATTCAACGTGGGGGAAGACTGGGAACTCCCAAGGCAGATGGGCATAAGGTGGGACATAACTATAGTTAGCCATAAGGTCAGTAGTTCAGGTAAAATTGATTACATTTGGAACAAATGGGGAAGGAGTCACAGAAAGCAGGCATTCTTACAGAGTGGTGACTCTTTCCTAGGGGGATGAGACCTCTTTAGGGTATCAATCCAGGATATTGTTGACTATGTATGTGGTCTTTTGTCTTGAGGCCTGGCCCACAGCAGGAGGCATCAGCTTCTCAGGCAGCTGCCAGGTGTGTGCATTGGCTCCATGGAGGACCTAGCCCTGTCTTCTTACCTATAATATTCGTAACTAGCTCAGCTGCCTGCAACAATCCCCCCTCTGAAGAAGTAACCCGAACTGCCGTGAGGGGATAAAGGGCGATGACCAGTCGCTAACTTTTTCGAGCTGAATAGGGTCGCAGTTATTGAATGGCAGTCAGAGGTACTTCTGCAGAGATCCTGTCTAGAGGCCCTCGATGGATACCAGGCGTTTTCATCTTGGGTGTGCACACAGCTTTAAGTCTGGAGGAGACAAAGCCAAAGAAACAGTTAAGCATGTATGGGCCAAGGAGCAAAATCATTAAGTCAGTTATGAGTATAGTTAACAAATTTCCACCAAGAAGCACTAGAATTAATTCTTATAAGAATAAAGTCCAGGGAAGCTTAGACTCTGACACGTCATTGATTTGTTATCTAATATCTTGAATAGCCACAGAGACATTAACAGAACAATCAGGAATATATATATACAACATTTAGTTTTTACAATTGCACAAGTGACCCCCTGTGCTGCTGTTAGAACATCTAATGCCATCTGATTTTGAAAGACAGCCTGTAATAAAAGATCATCTATCTGATTATATTTTAATCAGGAGATCTATTGGCTGTTAGGTTAAGTTTTTCTCTGTATGGCTGTATGAGCATGTAATGCTAGCAAAGCATACTTAGAATCAGTATAAATATTGACCTTTTGTCCCTTGCTAAGTTGTAAGGCTCTGGCTCTGCTGGCTGAGCACCAGTTCTAGGTGTAAGGGAGGCGCTTTTAACAGTGTGGTGTAAAGTTATTGCATATCCTGCCTTTCTTTTTTATTTTCCATGAAGGAGTTGCAATCACAGAAGAGGGTTAAATTTGGGTCAGTAAGCCGGGTGTCTGATAAGTTTTTTGACTGCGTATGTGTGAAGATTACCTGTTCACAGTCACGTTTATCAATCTCAGTTTTTTCCTCCTGTTCTGGCAAGAAGGTGGCGGGATTTAAGGAAGAACATGTCTTTATTTGAATGACTGGTCCTTGTAGAAGTAGAGTCTGGTATTTAAGAAATCAGTTGTCAGGCAGCCATAGACTTATCTTAGAAGAAAGAAGTCTTGCCACATGGTGAGATACAATACAATGAGATCTTTGCCTAAAGTCACCTTGATTGCCTTGATTGCCTCTGGCAATAAGAGATCTACAGCTCTAAGGCCAACAGGCCATCCCTTTGCTCTTTGCCTAAAGTCATTTTAGATACCCTGTAGGTTGTTAGCAGATCCTAGATTTTGTATAGCACTCTCCAAGCCATGCCTCGCCTCTCATCTACGTATAAATTGAAATGGTATCCTCTGGATAGGCTCATGGTCAGTGCATTTAGAAATGTTTGCTTAAGCTTTTGCAATGCCGCTTGCAAATTAGGTTCCCAGCATAAAATATGAGTATCTGTCTTTTGGGTCTCTTATAAAAAAGTTGATAGAGGGGTTGGATAATCTCTCCATATCTGGGTATCTAAAGGCTGCAAAAGCCTGTAACTCCTAGGTATCCCCTTAGCTGTTTTAGAGGTTTGGGCTATGGGAAGGAGAGAATGGGTTTAAGCTTGTTTTTTTTCCCTAGCCTTCAGGTCCCTTTGGATATAATGAGACCTAAATATTTTACCTTAAGACAGCAAAGTTGTACCTTAGATTTAGAGACCTTATAACCTTTGTCTGCTAGAATATTTAGCAGATCACAAGTGCCTTGGCTATAGAGCTCTTCCAAGGGGGCACATAACAGTATGTCATCTACATATTGCAAGCCTGTGACCTGGGAAAACTCAACATGCCAAGTCATGGGAAAGCACTTGTCTAAAAAAAGATGTAGACTATCTCTGAACCCTAGGGGGAGCACAGTCCATGTTAATTGAGATGCTTGATCCTGTGGATTTATTGTCCTATTTTACTTTTAGTTGCTCATAGTTTAGGATTTTTGTCTCCATAGGGGGAGGCAGCATACCTGACCTAGGTGCATATATATCACAGTATTTAAACATGATAAAATATATCTTCCTAAGAGAGGAACTGGACTTTTAGGCATAATCATAAATGAATGTGTAAAAAGAAAAACATTCCAGTTACAGCCTAAGCCTTGTAAAAAATAACAAATTACCTCCTCACCAGTGACTTCTTTCACTGAGGTGTGACGACTAGAAGAAAGACCAGGATTGAAAAGAGGGACCGAGAGGCTTGCGCCAGTATCCAGCAATAGGCTGGTTTTCTTTTTTCCTCTATAGTCATGATTACCTGGGCTCCTCTGTGGAGGTAACAGTCTGCCCAGAGGGAGAAGGCAGCGAGTGTCCTGGGGCCCTTTAGTCCTGCTGGACCAACTGATAGGATGGGTCTGAACCTTGGGGCCTTGGCCTCAGAGGGCACTCTGACCTCCAGTGGTCACCTTTGTAGTTGGGGCATGGCCCAGTCCCTCTTAAGGTGACCTGGCTTGTGGCAGGGGTAGCAGGTCTGCATTGTCTTTGAATTCTTGGAGCCCCCAAGAATCAGACTTTGGGTATGTTTTTCTTAAAGCTTCAACTAAGGCAGCTTCTTGTTCTTGGTCTCTTTGTTTTTTTTTCTTTGGCTTTCTCATTACAGTTATAAGATACTAAGGAGTAACTTTCATTAAAGTATCAAGTGAACTATCTGGAGCAAAGGCTATCTTTTGTAGCTTTTTTCTGATGTCTGGATTTAACTGAGTAATAAATATGTGGGGTTTTTTTTGGTCTTTTTTCCTTTTTATCAGTACCGGGGATCGAACTTATGACTGCCTGCTTGCAAGCCAGGTGCTTTGCTGTTGAGCTAAATCCCCAGCCCCAAATAAATATGTCTTTAAGCAAAATCTGCCCCTCTATCGAATCAGGATCTATAGACATACATTTTATTATTGCCTCTGATAAACAATCTAAGTCAGAGGGGTTTTCACCTTTTTCTTGAGAAATAGCTGACAATTTAAAATAACTAGAAGGCTTGGTTTTTGTCCTTTTTAGACCCTCAAGAATATACACTTGAGGGGCTGGAGGTTTAGCTCAGCGGCATAAGTGCCTGCCTTGCAAGCAGGCAGTCGTGAGTTGATCCCTGGTACCAATAAAAAGGAAAAAGACAAAAAAAATATATATATATATATATACACTTGAAAATGTCCCCTGTTCCAGTTTCCTGTATTATTGGCAGGCCACTTGGGGTCTTGGTAGGAACTGCTTGTGCCTCAGTGGGAACAGTTGGTTGTCCTGGCTGTCTGTCTTCTGGCCTTCTAAAAGTAACAATATGATAATCATATCCAAAGGCAATAGCAGCTTGCAATGCTGCCTCTCTCTCACTAGAAGTCAATGTTTGATTTAAGAGTAACATTACATCTTTCCAGCCTAGCTTGTAGGTCTGAGTAAATCCTCTAAAGACATCAATGTACTTATCAGGATCATCTGAAAATTTTCCTTAATTTGCTTTAATTCACTTCTAGCTTAATTTGCTTTAAGTCACTGAGAGAGAGACCTATGAATGGGAGTGGTCTCATAAGGATTATAATTATACCTGGAGCATAGATAAGAATTATCTTTTAATGCAAAGAAAATTTTAACATACTGCAGTTCTAACCATTTTTCCTCTTTCTTACAATATGATTTTAGTTGTAAAAGAACATCATAATTAATACTTCCCCCTGTATTCCATTTTGGCTCTAGGGGATAGGTAGGCCACGCACTCCTGCAGAGAAATACCAATTGTCTCTTTCTCAACATGGAAGGGTTGACCATCTTCCAGTGCTTAAGAATGCAGTCCAGAGGAGAAAGGGGCTTTGACATTGTGTTGCTCATGTCTAAATGGGTCCCAGTCTAGAGTCTATGAAGCAAAAGCAAACTCACCGCCGTCCAGTGATCTCGGTGGAAGACCTCCAAATGATATAGGGGAATGAAATGCCCAACCTACTATGTCCGCAAGTTCGTGTTCTCTAAAATCGAAGAATGAATTTTAGGAACAACGGAGGTAAGGGTAGAGTATATTTACTGAGAGAAAGAAAGCTTCTGTC